AGATTGGCAGCCAATTAGCTTCTCAAGAGTTGGGCCAAAGTTTAGGGAATTATTTGGCATAGCTTGGGAATCTAAATGGTCTTTCAACGAGGATTGATATCTGAAGGGTCTGCCTCTCCTTCTCGAGCCCGTAGTGGAATTAATTATGCCATATCCGCCTGTTGCGGTCGAATATTTTTAAATTACTACTCCTCAGAATTCGAGCCCGGAATAATCATTTCTTGCTTTTATTGTTTCCGAGTTGCATTGTTACTTGACTCGGCTCGCTTCCGTTTTCATGACTCACTAGGCTCACTGTGACTCGCTTTCACTACCCGTTCCTTTCCTTTGTTGCAGTTTCTCGCCAGTGGTTGAAAACCCTCTATTTTTCTTTGTTGCTTCTTGATGAGCTCATCCTCCGAGTCTTCTTTTAAGCTCTAATCACCTCTTACAATTTGAAGTTGCTTGCATGCAGTTGTAGTCTCTTGAGATTTCCTTTGGGTTGGGAAGATGAGTGGCTTCTTCGGCTTGTGTTCTGCCCGCAACCATTCTCCTAGTTCATCCAATTTTCTCTCTTCCAACTCAAGAAGGATTTCATGTAGTGGTGTTGCTTTTGGAAGAAGCTGACATTTTTTCCAGTTGTGACCTACTAATCCGCAGTAGATACATAGTTCTATGAGGTTTTCAAAAGTAAACCTCACCCAGACTGGGTTATTGTTATTGTTCAGAAAGAATCCCCTTGGTAATGGCTTTCTGAGGTTGCTTTCTACATGTAGCCTTACCATGCATCCTCGAGTAGGCTTCCCAGGTTCTATGTCTGCATTGACCTCTAGAACTCTCCCTGTTGTAGAGGCAAAAAGCTTGCAACGGTGGTCGGAGATGTAGTTCTTATGGATGTTGTGCATTTGAAGCCATATTTTTTGGAACCACAATTTAATCTTCTCTCCTATGGTTCCATCTTGGCAGACCGCTACCAGCATCCAGCTCTCTCGGATGAACCACGAGCCTCCGTTTAGAACTTTCAACAGGTATTCTTTCTGTTCGAAAATGAACACCCAACCATTGCTATCATCATGGCCAACTTCTATCAGGTACGTCAGATTCCATGCATGTTTAATAAATGCTTGGTCGTTCTCCATAGAAACTTTAGTGCGAGGAAATATTCTTCCTCTTAATGTCTTGTTAACCACCTCTATCGCTTCTCGTACCAGCTCCACTTTGATTTCTAAGTGGGGACTGACAATGGGTGCATACTTTTCCAGCTCCTTACTTAGATCTGTAATCTACTAGGTTGTGGTAGGTAAGTTTTGCTTCTCCATTATTTTCTTCGAGTTATGCGAGTCTTTAGCCATTCTGGAAGGGGACTTGTCTCGGACTTGCAACAATAGAATGTTACACGGGTTAATGGGAAGACATTAAGGATGGTGGTGAAACAACATCTGAGTGCAAGAAGTAGAGGGAGTGTGAGGGTTAAGGGAGGGATCAACAGCTAGTACGAGTTCCTACCAAGTATTTAAGTTGTTATAAAGATTGTGACATGTAATTGTAATCGGTTTGCCTATATAATAAAACATATTATATTAAATGAAAAACTATAATAACATTGAACTATATTAAGAATACCACTTTTATCTAAAAAGTCATTTTTCACATAGTGATATAATATTATAATATTAATAAAAATGAATACCTCATTCTAATTTATATTTTATAAGATAATGATATTATAACTTATAAATTATATATTACAATTTATAACTTATAGGTCATATAAGTAATAAGATATAATATATAAAATAAGTAAATTTTCATTTTGCCCCACTTTATAAATTCTCCCATTTGTCGTACATACAATATTCATCTTATATTTTTAATAAATTCTCCCACTTGTCATTATTCTCAACTATACAAACCAATAAAAAATTATAAGATAATGGAATTAAAAGATTTGATATCATGTTATAACTTATAAGATATAAGATGTTTATCTATATTATATAAAGAAAATACTTGCCTTAATGTCCGTAAATGCCATAAGAATTAAATCACTTAATTTACATTACATCATATAAATAAAGTTTTTATTTTTATCCTTTTATCTTGCACATGCGCATAACACATATTCTTATTTTAGTATTAAATAATATTGACATTCGTCTAGTTTTGATATATGTTATAAAAGTTAAATTAAAATACATATTATATAATGTTAATACTTTTTTTATCATTTTATTTTTCTCTTACACATGTGCACAACATATGACTTTATATTCATAGATTATATAAGTTATAAGATATAAGACATAAATTATAAGATATATGTTTAAGTTATAAGATTTAAAATATAATTTATAAACAAATTAACAAATTATTATGTATAACATGAAAGTTTTTCATATTATTCAATTTACATCTATTTTTTTATACTTTTATTTGTTTTTTTAAGTTATAATAGATCTGATATAATTATTATTATTATTATTTAAAACTTATAAAAATTTTAAATTTTAACTCTTTAAATTATTAGTGATATAAAAAATTGATACATATCGTACGATATGTATTAATACCTTTGAATATTACTTATAAGATGTAAGATATGACACATAATATATTTTTAACCTTATTTATAAGATATAAAATATAATGTATAAGTTATAAGATACAACATTTAATCTTTAGTCCTCTGAGTTTAGAGAATCAATTACATTAGAAAAATTAGCTTGCAAATAAAAGTAAGTTTAATAAATGAGCTTGATGATAAAGTGGCAACTGATTTTTACCATTAAAGATTGAAAATTTTCTCTTCCACTACTAAAACTAGATGTTCTATAAGTGAAAATTATATTTCAATAAGTTTTTTTTTATGGCCTAATAATTGAAATTTTAATAATAAATTATTATTTTATATCTTTATAAGTCTAAGGATCTGTTTGATAACACTTTTTAGATGTCAGACATTTGAAAAATTTGCTTTTTGAACATCAAACACATTTGGGTTTGCATCTGAATATATGATTTGAAACCATTTTTCAAATATAAAATGGAGAGACATTGGCTTGTCACTTCTAAAGTTAAAATACCTTTAAAGTATTTTTGAAAAGACATGCTTATTTGGCATATTCTTCTCGAATGAGAAAAGACTTTCCACATCACTAGTAACAAAGCTTCATTTTAAGTTTGTTATTGATCTCATAATTTTATCTTAAACCTTGTTTTCTTTGTCTCAAATCTCACAAACTCTATTTGTTTTTTATTATCTCGATTAGCTGCACTACTTGAGTTTTATTTTTTTTTCTATTGTTAGGGTTTTTATTTGCATTTCAACTAGTGAATGCATAACTAGCAATGATCGACGATGAGGGTGAGTGTAAGAAGTATTATTTTGTTAATTATTAAATATTTTTATTGCTTTATGGATTTTATTCATATTTTCTAATATTATTTTGATTTAATAAATTATTTTTAATTTTTTATAAATTTTATTCATATTAATTATTAAATATTTTATAAAATAGTGCTAACTGAAATAAAATTACCAAAAATAGTAAAATAAAACAATTATAGATGTTAAAGAATTAATCAAACACAAACAACCTTATCTATTCAGAGCCTCTAAAAATATAAAAACATCTATGTTTTTTTTTCAGATTTTAGAAACATAATATCTTTTTAACTTTTTAGATTTATCAAACGTCACCGAAGTATCATTATAGTTTTTCATTAAACCTAGTGAAAGTTTCTCTTCATAGTAGTAATATTGTAATTTTGTCTTCAATATCGTTGTCAACACAAATTTCGTGTATTTTGATTAACACAAAATATGAAGACAAATTACAAAAATGAATTTATAATTAAGAAAATACAAGGGACTTGAACTTTCTTTCGAATTTAATGAAGACAGAGGTTGTTAGTGTGTTTCCTGTACTTCTTAAAGTGTTGATATAAATTTCCTTGAATTTGGTGCTTTTAAAGAGTTGATGTAGATTTCTTTACTCCGGGCTTCGCGCTTGATCGACTATGAAGGGCTATTTTATAGTGGCTTGATCTTCTTTAGACAGCTTGAATCCAAGTGTATTGTAGAGAACTAAGAAGTTTTTCCCTTTTTTCTTCTATTTTGATGTTGAAGTTGTTGGAGTTTGTAAGAGCTTGTCGTTGTTTGCAATCCTTAAGTCTTGGTGTGTGATAGCTTCTTGCAATGTGTGTAAAAAGGGATCATCTTTCTTCCTATGTAAGGCTATAAGCCTAGGATTGAGATTGCCGTCTCAACCAACTTTTCTAACCAGTACCATGTAAGTGGGGTGTTAGATTAAGATTAACTCCTATACATGAACCATTATGTAGGAGTTAATAGTATTGCCAATGGGACCACCCTATTATAATAGGACATGGGCCATATTGGACTTAGTACACTTAGATCCTTGGACCACTAAGTCATATTTATGTAGACTTGGGCCTTGAGCCCATGGAGGCCCATATTAACTTGTGAAGACTACCATGTAAATTAAACCCACTTATTTGGCTTAAAAATTTATGTGTCTACAAATGCCCTCTCAAGGATGAGGTAATGGAGCTCCGTACAGTGCCGATGTTGATTTTCATGTTGAATGATTGTTTGACTTGGTCATTTAGGAAGACTTTCATATAACTCATAAGCCTAAAGGAGACGTTGCATGTTAGCCTTTATTCCAAAATAATGGATTGAAATTTATGAATTATGATGCATGTGGGATTCGAGTTTGGCTTTAGTCAGTCAAGCCCATGCCACACCATCCGAACCTCTTGCAACTTTGCATTCGTACAGTGTCGATGTCCTCGACACTACCGATTTCTATGTTGAATGATTGTTTGACTTAACCGTTGAAGAAGACCTGTGCATAGCTCATGAACCTTGAGGAGATGATGCATATTTGTCTTTATACTGAAAATTATAAATTGTAGTGCATGTAGTTACTCCTTGCTATATGGAGCTCAACATCTACAAATATTAAGCTTTGGGTAATTTCTCGAGACAGCTCGAACCTTGCTTTCAATTTGATCATAACACTAAAAATCAATATATAGCGGCGGATCTCTCAGTGACACTAGGAAAAATGCCACTATATACTCGTTTTTAAGCGGTGAGTAGTGAGGGCCGCTGCCATAAGTGCGGTTTCGTATAGTGGCGGATGCATTTTTGCCGGTGGAGCTGCCCTTATACATCCAAAAAAAAAGCTAAAATTTCTCTCCCGCACAGACGAAACCCCATTCCTTCGTCTTCCCTTAAACCGCACTAGCAAAACCCCTCAAACTTTTTCTTTGCTGATTCTAGGTTTTCAACCCTCTCTCCCTCATCTCTCGCATTTCCTTTCTTCGGTAGCTGAGAGTAACTTTGGGGTGAGGTAAGTCACGGATCTCTCTCTCTTTCTCTCGTTTTCATCTTCTTCCTCTCATTATCTCTCTCTCTCTCATTTTTTTTTTTCTTTTTTGGCTCGTCCCCTATTCTTCTGTAAGAAACTAGACCATCCAAGGAACCATTTTCGAGCACACTCTCATCCCTACTAATGGTCTCTTAAAAGTGATTTCAGCAGTCATTTCAAAGACACCTCAGCATTCTCTTATGCTATCTGCATTGAAACTCCAATTGTACACTATAAGAAACAAATTCTCCGCTCTCTAGAAACTTCAACTCTATTTTTGGATTAAGATATGGCATAGGGATTCGGGAATTATTTATCTTGTGTTTATCTTTTGCATATGTACTGGTATGGTGATGTTGGAAATGTAATATATGCAGTGTCTGGCATGATACAACAATTCCACTTAAAGAAGTTATTCATCAATTTGAAAGTTGGATTGCCCATCATCGCTTGTGGTAAAAGGAACTGGGAGGACCTCTTCACCGTGCTGCATTTGTAACTTGGTTGGTTGATCAGCATGTATAAATATATATATGTTCTGTTCTTATATGAACTTTTGTGTTTAAATGTCTTGAACATCTTTGGCAAATATTTTACAAGTGTTGGTAATTCCATGTGAATGTGTCTAATAATGTTGTGAATTGCCTAAGGGAGAATGTGTTGCCATCATCTCATCGTGGCTTGAATCCTGTTGTATGCAAATTCTGGTTTGAATGGAACATTAGGTGGTTCCTAAATTTATAAATTGTTATAATCATTATACAATTCAATGCTAGGAAATATTAATACCAAAGTATCTAGATGGTGATGCTCCTTTTTTATTTTATTTTTTCTAAACCTAGAATTTGTTCTTAGCTTGTTGTATTACTGAAGCATTCCCCCAGATGTCCATTTTCTGATAATAACACTTAAAAAAACATTTTCAAGTAGAAAGGGTAGGAAGTAAAAGGAATACAGTATGTCAGAGAAAGAAAAATCTACTCTAGAATATTAAATATATAGGAATTGCCTGTTTAATTTTGATAGAGAAATTGGAAAAGCATTAATGCTGTAATGCTACTTATAGTAAGGTTGTCATTCAAATTTAGTTGAATGATATCATTGTGTGGCAACACTAACTAGACATTGTTTTGCTGATTTAATCTTTCTGTTGTGTATATTAGAGGTAATGGGATTTGAAGACAAAGATCCCTCGGCAATGCAAAGTGTTAAGTACAAGATTGCCACCGTATTTTATGGAGTGGATCAATTTAAAGGACATCTATCTCAATTTTTACCAGAGGAGGGTAAGCATTCATTGACAAAATTTACTTTCTGCACTTGTTTGTTTTGAATCTTTTTCCAGTAAATGGCTGCAAGGAATTTGAAATAATGGCCTAATTCCCAGTAACAGGACCTTTGGATCTTTAATATCTACAACCTATAGGTATTCTGTGGTTGATGTCTCCACTTTTTTAATGGATGCCAGGCCCCAGGAATGATGACCATGATGAAGGAACTTGGGATTCCATTGCTAGGAAGCCACCATCTTGGGATTGATGATACCAAGAATATTGCAAGAGTGCTGCAACACATGCTTGCTGATGGTGCAATTTTGCAAATTACTGCAAGGAGAGTTGATTATCTTGCTAGGAAGTCACCATCATGGAACATGAACTTTAGATTTGAAAGTACCTCATACTGGTCCATGTAGTAATTGCATAAGCAATACCAGTCCCATACATGCTCAGATATTTCAGAAAACCGCAAACCCATGCTTGCTTCTTACCTGAACTACCAACAGTCCAAATTTTACACAGAACAAACCCATTTTTCTTTAAATATGGATATTGTCCCCTATCCTCTCTCTCTCTCTCTCTCTCTCTCTCTCTCTCTCTCTCTCCCACCTTCAGTAATCCAATTGGAAATGACTTCTTGAATCCTAGGGATGTCAATAGGTCTGGTGGACCCAACAGAACTAAAACATACTAATCCTATTATATAGGGTTTGGGTCTGCAATATGCATGCATCCTAGTTATAATTGATTAAGAACAAACCAAGTCAAGTCAAGTCAACTAAACACAATTAATCCTTGTCCCAACTCTATTGGGGTAGGCTATATGAATCTTATCTTGTCATTTTGTCTGTTCAGTGCCACGTACATTGTTTAGGTATGGACCCTTAAATCATATCTCACTACCTCAACCCATGTCCTTGGCTGCCCCTAGCTCTTCTAGATCCTTTAGCTTGTAACAAGCCACCCTACAAATGCGGTCAACCTCCATGAGAAATAAAGAGGGTGCATCCAACAATCTTGAATCTCTTGATCAAACTAAGGGAACAAATGAACCTCCAAGAGAGATAATTAACATCATTGGGGTGGAAACTTCTAAACAATGTATTTCTCCTTCTCCAGTCTTGGGAAATAATGATCATGGAAAGGTTGTTTTATGTCAACCTGCAAAATATTTTGATGCAAGGAGTAGCACATGTACTTCTGGTCCCTTTCCTTTGCAGGAGCTTTCTTTAGAACATGTGAAGCATCAAGATGAGGGAGTTTTTCAGGAAAAACATGTACTTAATCACTCTGATGCATCCCTATTTTCAAGGTAATTTTTCTGTCTTTGTATATCATTCTATGCTTGACTGCTTGGGCCTGAACCATTCTAGTGCATCCCCTTACAAATGCATCTTATACCACACGCGTTTGTATTATCATGCATGCAATCCATCTTAACTGACAATGGGGAACCACCTGAATTGATTTGATTTTCCACATTTGGTGAATGATGTATTTGTCAGAGGCTGCAAGGTAACATGAGGCATATGCATCAATTATCAATGGTTATTTAGTTGGTTAATGCAAATAATATATATTTTATGCATCTCTATAGTTCAAAATGTATGAACGAATCATTTGAGGAAATAATCACTTCTGTGATACACTACCAATGGCTACTGCATCCTATACTAGATTCAATATCTCCTATAGAGCCCCAAGCGCCAGCTTCAATCCACCTCTTTAACCCTAACTTGATCAAGTTCAGATTCTTCCTGTCGGTTCAGATTTTAGGTAGAAATCTTCATGAGTATTTTCTGGGTTTCAAAATAGCAACTTAAGATCTGCAAAACCGTCTACCAATTAGGCAACAACTTCCAACAATAATCAACAACTATCTATCTAATTCCTCAATGACTATCAAAACTTAGTTGTAATGAAAAAAGTAAACCAAGTAAAATAATTGTGGCATTGGACATCTCTTGAACTCATTTACATGGTGACTAACTGAGAATGAGGTTTTCCAAGTTCAGCAAGATGTTGCTTTTTCTTTTTTTTTTTCCATTTTTCGTTTTTTTTTTCTTATTTTCCATTGAAGAGATGAAGTGAATTTTTGTTAATGTAATCTTCTCTAGTTTCTGTTGGCTTCTCTTATTGATTTTAGTAAAAGAGGTTCTGTTTGAAATGTGGAATTCAGTGGAGAACTGGGCAGATTGTAGTCTCTATGGTAACCTCAGGGTAAAGTTTACCATGTTGGAGGGAAGTATTAGTAATACATAGGTTTCTTCTCTGCTTACTTGATTTTCTGCTTCTTTCACCCTTCTGTATAAAGGAGACCACATTCTTTTCTATAGTTGCAAAAATTTATTCATTTCCTTTTGATCTCTGCCACTTTCTCTATGGTCTGAATGAAGAATTCTTTTCTTTGCCTTTGACATCTGGTACTTACTTTCTGGTCTTGGAGCTCTACTGTTGCATTATTATGTTATTTCATACCTTCTTCTCTTTATATTATATGTAGTTAGGGCTAAAGTTAGTATAGCTTCTTTTTGTCTTATATGAGGAGAAGTTCTCTTGAAATTTAAAGCTGATATAGTTAAAAGAAAATACATGTTAGCTTGATTACCGTGCATTGATATCTAAAAATCCATTGAATCATTAATGCAAAATGCAGTTTTATTAAGCTCTTTTATTCTGATGGTTTTTGTTTATAACTTTTTGTTTTTTGATTTTGTAAAGGAAGGAATTTTTTATAAGTTAAAGAACTTTTTGGACTTTTGTATCACTTTATTGGAGGATGACATTTTGAGTTATCAATGCTTTTGTTATTAATACCTCTTAGATAAAAATTGCAAGATATATTTTTATTGGCATTTGCTAGTTGCCATGTTCTTAAGTTTCACTCTTATGTGAGGTTTTTCAGGGTTTTTGGACAGGGGGTAGGTATTGTTAAGCATGTTCATTTTTGTGTTTCGCCATTTACTTGGGATTAGGGGATTTGGAAGGAGTGATGACAGAAAGAAGACAGGAGGTTAATATTGTTGCTGAATGTTGAGTAGTGTTATAAGCTACCTTCAAAGGTATCTTTGCTTGGTCTGCCTACTTAAGCAAGATCCTCACTAAGGACAACTTGTTAAATAGAGGAATGGGGATTGATTCAGTAGAATGTGTCCTATGCAATAGGGTGGAAGAAATCTGTAGATTGGGGATTGATTCAAAGCCATTTGTCATTCTCAGATCTCCCAAGTTATGTTCGGATGTATTACCATGCAAGGACCACTGATCAGGTATTCAGGTATTAAATTATCTGGGTTTTCAATAAAAGATGATCTGGGTTGTGAAGGGCTGTTCCTATGTTCAATTCTCATCTTTTTATAACAATCTAAGCAATTTAAGTGCCTATAATTTGTGTCACAGATATAAGACCTACAACCCTTGCCATGTGAACTGCATGGAAGGAGAACAACATCATGTGGATGGTCCATGCAGATTGGGCACAAAGCTTCATCCCATTCCTTGTGCAAAGCAAGGATATCTGTGCCAGTGGAGGTGCTACCTTTCATATCTGACATCTTGGGTCAACTGTATTAAGTTGTTTGAAACATTAAACCGGTCAGAATGCCGGTTGTTTATCTTCTTTAAGCATTTTGTTTCTGGCTTTCTATAATTTCTTCGATCCATGCTTTCCTATCTGGTCTTGACTTGAATGGTGTAATACTGTGATGCAGAGGTTTAGAATATCTACACGAACACTGCAATCCTCCAGTGATCCATAGGGATCTAAAGTCATCAAATATTCTTCTGGATTCCAATTTCAATGCAAAGGTAAAAATCAAGCAACTAGTGAGACTTTTCTATGTTTTTTTATCAGTATTAAAAATATAACAATTTAATTTTATCACTGAGATAAGTTGATCTCTTATGGTGGATCTTTATCATCAGTCTATTGTGTTGCTTTACATTATAGTCTCTCATTATGAAATACTCTAAATATGTTCTACAAATTTGTCTTGATTCAGCTCTTTGATTTTGGTCTTGCTGCAACTTTTGGGGCCCAAAACAAGAACATTAAGCTTTCTGGTACTTTGGGTATGTAGCACCGGAGTATCTTTTAGGCAGTATGTAAACTGAGTTGATTTCTTTATATAAATTTGGTGATCTGTTGATTAGTTTTCCTCCCCATGCTATTAATTCATCTTTCACAAACCCTACTCAACCTATATGTGAGGAAATAGTTGTGTTTTTTTATTAACATTTCTTCCTTTCTACATTTTCCCCTTAATGGGAGATTTAGCATGCATTTCTCATAGACCTCTAAAGGATGCTATACCAAATGCATCGATGTACACCTGCTTCAAATGCAAGTTATAGAAGCACACATCCATTAACACTTACTAAAAGCATTCCTTCTTATCTCATATATATAGTTTCAGAGCAATCAATATGTTTAGGGAGGGAGAGAGAGAGAGAGAGAGAGAGAGAGAGAGAGACTCAAATGATTCCATTTGATCAACTTCTATGTTTTTTCACAAGTTTTGTGTGTTGATGATTAAGAATGTTAAGTCAATTGAAAACAATCATGTTTATGTGCCAATGGAGCTCACATCTATCTCTTGTACATGTTCTATGTGTTGGCGGGTCCCAAATATCTATTTTCTATTGGATTTGTGTATTGGTGGGGGCACATATCCGTTTTGTATAAATTCTATGTGTTGGTAGGGCTTACATATCTGTGCTGTTTAGGATTTTGTATTGGTGGAGCCCATACATTTGCATATTTGCATATGTTCTCTTCATATCTTTAACTGTTTTTTAAACATATGAATCTTGGATGTTTGTAAAATATCTTGTTTTGGTATTGTCTATTTCAATTTAATATATAATTTGATGCATATCATACACAATCTAACTTTAATTTATATTTGCTTTCCTTGTTTTTTCAGGTTGAACGAATACAAGAGTGATAGAAGACATTGTTGAAGATAATGAACATCAATATTTTACATTTTTTTTTGTGATTTATTGTTATATGTAAGAAGAATTTTGTGTTTTTTTATAATATTAATGTATGGAAACCATGTTAAAATGTACCTTTGTTTTTAATTAATATATTAGCTTTTATTAAATTTTATTTGAAATCTTCATGTGGTGTTAAAATTGAACAAGTGCTAATTAGGTTGAATAAATTGCAGATCTATAGCGGCAGGTATATCCGCCGCTAATCAGATATATATATATAGATATAAATTTTCTTTTAGCGGCGGATATATTTGCCGCTATGTATTAATGGCGAATATTTGTGGCAAAATGATACATCTATAGCGGCGGATATATAAGATGGTGACAATTAGATAACCTTTTAGCGGCGGGTGTATGGGTTACAAATAACAAAATTTCCGCCGCTATTGATGACTTATAGTGACCCCTTTTTGGATGATCCGCCGCTATATGCCGATTTTGTTGCAGTGTGATGGCGATGGAGTTTTGTATGCCATTAACATATTCGATGAATGTTACCATTGATTGTGAAGTGATATCATAATTAATCAACCATTTGACTTGGTTGACTTGTGAACCCAAAACAAAGTCCAATTCCACGTAGTATGTGGCTAACTTCAACTCGATAGTGGCTCAGGTTTATCAAATTGTATCTCTCAATGATTTGGTTGGATACCGGTATTTCCGTTTCCTAAGACGAATTGACCTTATGCCCCTTATTAATTAATATTCAACAAGCAACACTTGTTTCATTTTTCAAATGTGTAGCAAATATTTACATAGGCATCAATAACCAGGTCGTAGTCATAGCAAGCATCAGAATTAGGTAGTCATCAGTTGGGGTGGATTAACAACAAAATTGCAAATTTAGGTATGCAATATTCAAGCTAGCTTTCATCATAGTTGCTGTTGGTCATTTATCTTCATCGGGTATCTAAAAACAAGGAAAAAAAATCTGTGTTCGATCCTACAGCATTTTCCACACTCACCTGAATAGTTGTATCATTCTTGTTACTTTTGTTAGACATTAGAAAGTTTGAACTCTTCATTGGTATTGGTATTGGTAGCCTTTAATATTTAATGAGTTCAGCCATTAATTCGGAGAAGTGCAATCAAATTATTCTTCATGAAATTTTCATTCAATTAATCGAAACATACAGCTTTTGGATTGAATTCCATGGGAACACTTGTAGTGAAGCCTAGTTCCGATAGATTCACAGCTTTGATTAGGGGGAACCTAGGTATCAAACCCAATGAAGTTTAAACAATTAACATGAAGGCAAATGCTCGTCCCACCATGATTATAATAATTAGTAATTTGAATTTCTGATTATGTTGTGGCTTCCATATCCAAGAATTGCCAAGATTTTAATAAAATCTAATATTCCACTTAGATGGGCTCTTAATAGCTCTAACCAATGGCTGAATGGTTGTGACACCTTTTTAAGTTAACTCAAAGTTCTTTCCATATGTATTTGGAGACAAATAAGGAGACCTTCTTTCTTGCGCACTTGTTCTCAACTTTTGCCTACCAATAACAACCAAACAATTGAGAATGTTGCTACAGATTTTCTTGGGCTCCATAGACAACAGTGTATCATTGTGAATATTTTCTCTCTTAAATTTCTATCATGTCATGGCTGTAATTAATTTGGCATTTTGTTGAGTAGATACTTGCAGAGTGCTATGCTTGGTAGAGACATAGTTCACTCTAGGTATCATGATATCCATTTGCTTCTATAGAACATGTTGAGTTAGAGCTTCACAACTTGGCACATTTGTATGGCTTCATCAGCAGCAAGCCCTCGTAGACCTTCAATGGTCTAGGGTCCCTAGGCCTAGAGCTTTGTAGATTTTCGGATCCGAGGTCTCTTAGGTTTAGGGATTAGCTTGCATAGAATTTCTTCACCAAAGAATCACAAAATGCAAAGCTTCATCAATAGTAGGTCCTCGCAAACCTTCAATAGTACAGGGTCCCTAAGTCCAGAGCTTCAAAGACTTTTAGGTCCGAGGTCTCTTGGGTTTAGGGATTAGCTTGCATAGAGTTTCTTCACTAAAGAGTCACAACATGCAAAGCTTCATCAACAACATGCCCTCGCAGACCTTCAATGGTCCGGGGTCCCTAGGCCCAGAGCTTCATAGGCTTTCGAGTCCAAGGTCTCTTGGGTTTAGGGATTAGCTTGCACAGAGTTTCTTCACCAAGGAGTCATAGCATGCAAAGCTTTATCAATAGCAGGCCTAGAGCTTCGTGGACTTTCAGCTCTGAGGTCTCTTGGGTTTAGGGATTAGCTTGCACAGAGCTTCTTCACTAGAGAGTCGCACCATGTGGAGCTTCATTAGCAGCAAGCCCTTGCAGACCTTCAATGGTCTGGGTTCCAGAAATTCGTAGACTTTCCGGTTTTAGGTCTCATGGGTTTAGGGATTATGTGGAGCTTCATCAGCCACAAACCCTAGCAATATGTGGAGCTTCATCAGCCACAAACCCTAGCAATATGTGGAGCTTCATCAGCCACAAACCCTAGAGAGTCACAATATGTGGAGTTTCATCAGCCACAAACCCTAGCAGACCTTCAATGGGGGTCCCTAGGCCCAGAGCTTCATAGAATTTTGGGTTCAAGGTCTCTTGGGTTTAGGGATTAGCTTGCACAAAGCTTTTTCACCAAAGAGTCACAACATGTGGAGCTTTATCAGTAGTAGGCCCTCACAAACCTTCAATGGTTTGGGGTCCCTAGGCCCAGAGCTTCATAGACTGAGGTTCCGAGGTCTCTTGGGTTTAGGGATTAGCTTGCACAGAGCTTCTTCAGTAAAGAGTCACACCATGTAGAGCTTCACCAACAGCAGGCCCTCACAAACCTTCAACGGTCTAGGGTCCCTAGGTCTAGAGCTTCGTAGAATTTTGGGTCTGAGGACTTTTGGATTTAGGGATTAGCTTGCACAGAGCTTCCTCACCAGAGAGTCACACCATGCAGAGCTTCATCAGTAACTGGCCTTCGTAGACCTTCAATGGTCTGGGGTCCTTAGGTCCAGAGCTTTGTAGACTTTTAGATCTGAGGTCTTTTGGATTTAGAGATTAGCTTGCATAAAGCTTCTTCACCAGAGAGTCACACCATTCGGAGTGGTCTAGGGTCCCTAGGTCCAAAGCTTCCTAGACTTTGGATTTGAGGTCTCTTGGATTTAGGGATTAGCTTGCAATGAGCTTCTTCCCTAGAGGACTTGATTTAAGAAGCATTATTCTCTTCAAGATAAGGTGTACTTTTAATTTTTATTGTACTAACACTTCTCTTTTGCTTATGTAGGTGACGTCTTCTTCTAGTTCATTAGGTCATGGAGCTTCGTCGTCATCTTCTATACCTCCTTCGCCAAAGAAGAAATTGCAAGGTGGAAACTTAACAAATCTTGAAGACATAACTTTGAAGGGATGATTTCTATGATTTTGTTGTAGAATGCTCAACATACTAATGCTTGTTTTTGATGAACTTTTGACAAGTCCTTGTTATCAACACAAAGTTGAGTAGGAGTAGTTCTTTGAACTTGATGAAGGCAAACAAGATGCATTGGAAGACAACAATGATGATTTCTCTCCTTGGTGATGTGATGCTTGGGCATGTGTCATGTTAAGGAACAATCCTTCGCTAATCTCATAGTGTCAACTCTTTAATTTCTCTAGGTTCATCTCTACCCCTCCAACCTAGAGGAGTTGTCATGGTTTACATAGTGTTGGAGTCCTCCGTTGCTTCTAGAGAGTTTGTTTGACTTCTAGGCATTGTTTAGAGAACCAAACCGGGCATAGAATCGGAGAAGGGAGAGGTTCATGGGTTAGAGGTTCAATCTGGGTCGAATTGGAGGTCAAACCGTGATGACATGGTACATACATACATATACTACGGGTCATATAAATACTATATATAATATATTTTACAACTTTTAATATACTTAAATATGGTGGATGGATGGTAAGCTTCTTAATTTTTAAAACAAATGACTAGGGTTCAATCCTTTTGACTTACATTTTCTTTAAAATATGTACATAATAATGTAATGACTAGGGTTCAAGCCTTTTAAAACAAATGACGTGGTACATACATACACCCATGAGTACCAAGACTGCAGCTAGATTAGCAAGGGCATCTGTTGGAGAGAGGCTCAGTTAAGATAAATGACGGGGAAGAATTCTCTTTGCTGTGAGAAAAATACAACGTTGGCACCTGCACCATCTTTGCTTGCTGCTCCATTGAGAACATCATCCATGTTGGTAAGATGTCTATGTAACAAACCTCTTCATCAGGAAGGTCTTTGGAGAGTTCCCAATCTATCGAAATAGGGTGATCTGCAAGGAAGTCTCTTAGTGCCTATCCTTTTATAGTTTTTTGCGGGACGTAGATGATGTCAAATTCTAATAGGAGGAGGAGCCCACTTAGCTAGTCTCCCTAATAGTACAGGTCACATCATGATGTACTTGAAGGGGTCTGCCCTTGAGATGAGGTGAATAGTATGTCCTAACATATAGTGCCATAGCTTATTCACGGCAAAGATGAAAGCAATACAAGTCTTCTCCATGGGTGAATAGTTCAACTCGACTCCTATTAGTGTTTGACTAAGGTAGTGGAGTGCATTCTCTTTCCCTTCTTCATTGACTTGTGCCAATAAATCTCCCAATGACTACTTCTGTGTTGCGATGTACAGGATGAATGGCTTCTCGGGAATTGGTGTGACAAGTATTAGGGTTTTGAGGAGGTATTGCTTTATGTTTTTAAGGAATTTTTGTAGGTTTCATCCCACTCAAATGGGACATCCTTCTTCATCAGCTTGTTGAATGATTGACAACGTCCTACAAGGTTGGAGATGAATCGCCAAATGTAAACTAGTCATCCTTGAAGACTCTTCAACTCTTGTAAGTTCTGTGTTTTTGATATATTATAAATGACATCAATCTTTGATTAATCAACTTCAATCCCTTGATGGCGAAGAATGAACCCGAAGAACTTGCCCAAGGTGACTCCAAATGCACACTTGAGAGGATTCATCTTTAATTGATATCTTCTTAACCTATTGAAGATTCTACGTAAGTCATTGAAGTGGTCTTCTCTTTTCTTAGACTTG